TAATAAATTAGTGCCAACTATAAGCATGTGTTATTCTCTCATAATATATATATATATATATATATATATATATAACTATTTCAGAGTATAAGAGAGAAAACATAGATAACAACTTATCAACATTTGTGAAATTGTTGAACCCATACCAACTATAAGTAAAATATTCTCATCAAATAATACAAATATAAGCATTTAAGTTTTAGGCTATCAATGGGTCAAGTTTGGTTCGAGACAGGGTAGAACCATCTCAAATTAACTAGACCCTATAGGGCCTATAATTCCAAACCCCAAACCGGATTGGCTATTAATCGAAACAATTGGGTCTAACCTGATAAGAACCGATAATAAAAACTAGAAGGTTAGAACAATGCCATTAAGAGGAGAATTATCAAATATGTTTGAACAGAACATCCGTGAATGCAAAAACTTTTAGGTCATTGTCTTTTGCCATTTGGAGAAAAAATAGCTTTGGAAAATAGTCAAGAAAGTTGCAAAAGAAAAAGACAAAGTGATGACAGGGAAGAGAGAAGAAGATAGAATGGGTGTTAGAAAGGGAAGAGAGAAGAAGATAGAATAGGTGTTAGTGTCACTACTGTTGTGCTGTTGCTATTTCTAAAAAGAGGCAAGACTGAGTGGGTGTTGTTACCACCAGTTTTTAGAAAATCGAACCAAACTAGCCAGTTGGACCGATTAAACCTTAACCCTGGACCTTGGCTAGTTTGGTCTTACCATAATAACCGCTTTTGTTAAAAAAACTTATGAAAACTGGTTAACTGATCGGTTTAACCAAAAAATCAGTGAATTGGTCTCAGTTTCATGAAACCGCACAAGTCTTTAACCAATTGAAAATTTAAAATGTTTTTAACAAGATTTGAACCCATGATTTCTTATTTTCATATATTACTTAATTACCATTAGTTTACCTCTTAACCTATGTTAATTAATGACTATTTATTATACATATTTCTTTGTTTCACATATATTTAAAAAATATGTAAATTAAGATACTTAAACCATGGTTTTTTGTTTTAAAATTAAGTAACTTGTTATCGATACACCATATTTAAGTATATTAAAAATTGTAAAATATATTATATATAGTATTTATATGGCTTGTAATATATATGTATATGCCATGTCATCAGAGTTTGACTTTGGTTGAACCATTGACCCATGAACCTCTCCCTTCTCTAGTTCTATGCCCGGTCTGGTTCATTGAACATTGATTACCACTACCAAAGAAGGCAACTTCTGTTGTTTTCCAGAGCCATTGTCACTACCAAAGAAGACGAATGTGCCTCCACCACTTCCAATAAAAATGATAGTGTGAATAGAGAAACAAAAAACTTGAAAGGCTAGAAAGAAAAAGGACAAATGGGTAGGGTTTTGTAAGATGTTTTTAACTTAACATGTTCCAAAATTACTATTTTGGTAATTTCTCGGGTGGCGTTTGATAAATCTGAAGTCTAAAAAGTTAAAAAGATATTAAAATTGTTTAAAATCTGAAAAGAGGCATTAATACTTTTCTACTTTTCAGAGGCTCTGAATACTTTGCCTTGTTTCTGTTGGACCAAACTTTTAACATCTGAAATGTCTTGTTTTTACTATTTTACCCCTAGAATAAACTATTTGGTAAATTTGAGCTCAATTTGTACTATTTCATATAAAATAATTTATTAAATTCAAAATAATATTAAAAATCATACAAAAAAATTAATAAAATATATAATAACTATAAAAAATAATTAATAAATAACATAATTAAATTAATAAAAAATAATTACTCACTATTAAAAAACAATACTATAATTAAAATTTAATAGTGCAATTAATAGTTATAATAATATTGAATTAATGCAAATAAAAAATAATTGAATACATAATAATTACGAAAAATAATTAATAATTAATAAATAACGTGATTAAAATAATAAAAAATAATTACTCACTGTTAAAAAATAAGAAAATGATTAAAATTTAATAGTGCAATTAATAGTTATAATAATATTGAACAAACACGAATAAAAATAATTAAATACATAATAACTACGAAAAATAATTAATAATTAATAAATAACATAATTAAATTAATAAAAAAATATTTACTCACTATTAAAAATAATAAAATGATTAAAATTTAATAGTTATAATAATATTGAACTAACGCAAGTAAAAAATAATTAAATGCATAATAATTTCGAAAAATAATTAATAAATAATAAATAATGTGATTAAAATAATAAAAAATAATTACTCACTATAAAAATAATAAAATGATTAAAATTTAATAATATTGATTAAAAATATTTTCAACAACAAATAGAAATTAAAATATAATAAAAGTTAAAATAATCAAATAAAAATAATTAAATACATAATAACCTATAACAATATAAAAATATATTATTATAATTAATTGAAAAAATTATTCAACAACAAATACAAATAAAAGATAATAAAAAATTTAAAAATTACAGAACATTTACTACAAAACATAGGTTTACACATAATAAAGTGATTGTCATCATCTACATTAGTTGATAGGTTCATTCAATTCTTCTGGCAAATCTTATATTTACTCCAAAATTTACCAAAAATCGTATCATTAATAAATAACATACACGTTATCTTTGATTCTGATATGCCAACAACTGGTTCCCCAAACTAACACTATTCATTTACTCATCCCCGGAGAGCTTGGGACACTCAACAAGACAAAGTAAAAAGCAATACTACTTTAATGGAATGGGCCAAAAGTGGTGGTATAACACAATTAATAAGTTCTTTGAAAAGGCCCTATTCCCTCCCTGTACAATGAGTAAAGTAACCCGATAATACAAGCTCTGACCACAAAAAAGGGAGTTCTTTCCCTAAAAAAATATGCAATTCCGGTATTAAACTAGTTTCAACGAGATGATTTTGAAGATGCCCAATTGTCTTATGCCAACATACTTCAAGGAATCTAAAGATGGGTTGTTCCCCATATCCAATAAATTGAAGAAAACTACAAAATTAAAAGAAAAAAAAAACTCCAAAGAAAACGAATTTGGGTCAGTTCTTCTCCCCAACATACATTTTATTAATGATAGATCTTACAAAGAATCTGGGTAAAGCAAATCAGACGAAAATCATTCCTGTTTATCCATATACCACAAAGAAAATGAACCCGAATGGTTGAATAGCATAAATCATTCCCGTTTATCCAACAAACATGGCAATAAAAAAGAAAAAAAAAAAAAACTGAAGATTGTGAGGGTTTTTGAGGGAGCTTCATATTCAGTTTGAAGAGAAAGATCAAAGAGAAGGTTCTTCAATTCGAAGCAAGAAACATACCTCTCAGAGAGCAGATTCGGTTCGAAGAGAAGGTTCACAGAGAAATGGCGGTGGAGATTGCTCGCAGACAGGATGGTGATGAGCTTTTTCTCAGTTCGAAAATGAGGGTGAATGACCTAATTTTTTGGGTTTTATTTGAAGGACAAATTATTGTCATTTTTAATTTTTTATGAGGATAATATGTCATTTACCCGCATCTGAATAGCCTCTGAGCACGTTAAGCACTTGTCCAACTACTTTCATTTTAAGATCTGAAAATGCATTTCAGATCTAATATTAAGAGGCACACCCAAACGGTTGTGGCATCTAAAAAACAACTATTTCAGACTTCAGACGTCTGAATAATGCAATCAAACGGCACCTTAGTATTAATACATGTAAAACCAAAGACATTATACTATTATATCGGTTCGGGACAACCAAAACCAATCCTGACCAAATAATAATCGAGACATGGAACCTGAAACCAAAACCGGCCAGACAGGACAATACATGACTCCAAAACCGATATAATTGGTTAAGTCGATTTGGTTCTGTTGGGTAGACCCAATCCATTGACAACCCCAGTTAAGTTCAAATGAAAAACCATTCACATAATACCTTAATTGGAAAAAAGAAATATTCATTCATAAATCATTCATTTATCAAAAAAAAAAAAAAAACCTACATTCATAAACCACTCCAATTGATTTTGTAAGAGGATGTGCCAACTGGTTTGAGCATTAGAATGCTCCAGAAGTTTAGAAACCTAAACTCCCACTTTCATGGATGCCTCTCTGAATATAACATCCTTCACTTGTTCCATCTCATCAAAATACCCTTTTGGGCAAAATTTCCTATTTCTATCTAACACCAGTAATAATCATTCGAAACAATTAAAGCATAATGAGAGAAATAAACAACTATCACAACAAATAGGAAATAATAAACACAAATTCATAACATGCCAACTGTGAACAAATACGCAAGTAAAAATTATTGGCTGAACAAGCATCTTTTTGGTTGTTCTTTGGGGAACTAAAGCTGAGATTATGCCCCTTGAGATAAGTGCCCTTTAGGCTCCTTCTGAGCCATTTAATCCTCGTTTCCCAAGAAAATAGTAGAGTGAAGAATCAAAACTTATAGGGAAATAATGATTACTATTTTGAGCTAACAGTGCCGATTAATTAGAATAGTCAAGCAAATAGTTCACAGCTTTCCAGTTTTAAAAATACAATCCTTGAATAAAAGAAAACCATCTGAACACCTTCAGGCAACTCTTCTGAAATGATTGGATTTCTTCCCTTTCAATTTCCAGTTCCTTTCCCGCATGATCCATGCAATCAATCACCAAATCTGCAAGGTTTACTGAAAGAGGAAACAACTTCTAATGCATAGTGTTGAGATCTTCAATTCTTGATCACAACCATCTGATGGCGTGAGGCATTTAAGGATCTCTCACGCATCTTTTGCATGCAAATTTCCATTTCCTTCATCCGGGAGAGAACATCTTCATCTTTAACAGATATCTTCTCATTTAAGCTAGCAATCATCTACTGCATTTGAATCATGTTGTTGGCCAATGGTATTTGAGGCATTGGACTGTGGATTCTATGGGGGTTTCAGGTTGAGATGTTGGTGAGGGAATTTCTGAGAGAAAGGATTCACTAGGATGAGACAACCTAAAACAAATGGTACAATTAGATCAAAACTTGTAGGAGAGGGTATGAACTTAAATTTTCAAAGTAGTAATGAAGACATCAAACAATAGCTATGCTGGTTAAAGATTCACCGGTTTAAAGTTTTAAATTTTGTATTCTTTGAAACTAACAACCTGCTAGAAAACCAGGACAATAGCCAAAATAATTTTTGTGATGCACACTTGCACAGTTCTTAAAAATGTTGACTTTGTAAAACTTACTCCAAATAAATGTTTTAGTAGGTAATTAGGTATTACAACCAAGGTTCAAAGTATTGGCACGTATTGGCCGATACATATTGTATTGGGAGCACCCCGATATTGCCCCTACAGAGGGTGTATCGGGGTTCTGACCGGTTCAGGGGATGGAGGAGCCTCAAAACGCCCCCCTTGAACTGGTTTTGAGAAAAATAAATAAAAAAAAAGTAAAAAGACAGTACCAATACCGCCCAATACACCCCTACCGGCTATCAGGCATATCGATATTTAGAACCTTGATTACAACCTAGAGTGTTTATTATTTAATGCATATGCTGTTTTAAGCCATTTTTAGAAGCTTCAATCTGGAACCATTTGCTTTTTTTCTAATTTTTATTTCTCACATCTTTTATTTGAGGGTTCAAGTGGGGTGTTGCAGTCAACCTGCACAGCTGGACCATTCGACCTGTGACATACTGGCCAAAAGAGTTTTATATCCGCTCCATGTCTAACAACAAAAACAGTACAATCTCAATCCTTAACTACAATTTGATTTGATCAATATTTCCACTCTGTCTTTTGGATTAGATATAATTGATTCTTTCCACTAAACCTATACAAGATTAAACGATGGTCCTTGCACTGTTACAAGATTCTTTCCACTCTGTTACAAATGTTGACACGGGTTATCATCAAGTAGCTCAAGTATAACAGTCCAGGGCCATGGAAGTATAGACATGTCTTGAGAGAAGTGAGACAACTAGCAAGGGAACTGAGAACCACTTTCATTTGGATACAAAGATCAGCAAATGGTATGGCAGATATTCGAAAGCAACAGGATGTTAATAGGGAGCAATTGTATTTGGGGGTCGGTCACTCATTGGGAAGCTGAATGATACATATAGCCCAAGGAAAGGGGTTCTAATGGATTAGGTAGCTGATCTAGCCTAAACTGCATTGTGAGGTGTCTGCACTAGTTGTCCGGCATGTATTTACATGTTCTTGTACAAATTAGTAAAGACGTTGTTGTGTTAAAGATTAAAAAAAAAATGTTACAAATGTTGAAAAATGAAAATGTCTGCTCATCCAAGTTAGGAAGGATAAGAGGCTGGTCTGAGGTTCGAAATCATTTTCACCTTATGACATTTTAGATAATACGATCTTCCTATCCTGTGTCTGCTCAAAACAGAAAAGATCCTTGAAATATGGTCTGGATTATAAAGTCTGATTATTAGACAGGGTTATCTCCTGTTTGTATCCTAAGCAGCCACTATGTATTTGAATCTCTGTGGGATTGGGTGGAAGAAATCAAACAACTTTTACAAGTGACCTTTTTGAAATGTACAAATGTAAAAGACTCCTTTCTTTCAGTCCCAAAACAGGGAACCATGTCTACTGAAACAAAGAAAAATGTGGGGAGAATAAGGTGTTTCAGATCAGAAAAAGTGAAGGGTAGGATAATTTTGAGGAAGCAAACATGAACCATGGGTACTAGTTTGAGCATAAGTTTTTATCATAGCAGAAGATTTCCATCAATAAAGATAAAGGATACAAGGGGAAGAGACAAACTCTCTTATCTCTCCTAACAGGATACAAACAAACCAGAAAAGAATTTACAATAGAGACCAAAACAAAGCACCCCTGTTCGAGATCAAATCAGCCCCCACAACGTTCTGCAGCACATTCTCGCCATGTATTACGAACATCTCCTGGTGATGATACCAGAAATGGTGATGTCATCATTGAAAGATGTTCCCAATACATGGCGGGGATGTGCTGTGGGACGTTGTAGGGGCAATCTTGTGGGGGGCTGATTTGAACTCCCCCTGTTCACCCCTTGTTTAGCTAAGCCATCAGCAAAAGAGTTGGCACTTCTCTTAACCCAAGTGACTTTCACTTCTGTGTCCTTTGTCAGCCACTTAAAGTTTTTCTTTTCATTGCTGTAAAGCCCACAGTCCATTCTTGTCATCTTTCAACCAGCGCACCACCAGTTTGGAGTCTCGTTCTATAATCAGCTTCCTTATATATTTAACTCCTTAGCTCTTTGAACACCTTCTAAAGTCTTCGAGATCTCAGCTCTAAGGGAGTCACCTACTCCAACTGGACCTGAGAACAAGGCTATTATTTTCCCTTCCTCAGTGGAAGATCATCCAACTTTAAGAAGAAATATGCTAAACTGTCAAAATACTTTGAAGCAGTCTACAGTCCTACACATGACTATACCCAAGGATGAAAGAATATTTTAAGTCCCCAGAATACTTGAACTTTTTAACAAGTATGAACCTAAGAATACAGATGGGGGAGAAGGTAAATAGGGATCAATGGTACTGGGCTCAATTGTAATGTGCTTGCTGTATTGTTTTAATTCTATTTTTCGGAAAGGCCGCAGCTGCACCTCATGCCTCTCCAAGGGATGCTTGCTCTGTTTTTTATATTGACTTTAATAAATTATTCACTTATCAAAAAAACAAAAAAGTGCCCAGAATACTTAAGTTGTTGGGGATCAAATTAAAGGCATTGTTAGCTCGGGCAGTCCTGATCCTCCCTTGAGTTAATTTGGTTATTAAGAATGAATATTGTGTTAAATATGTAAAAACAGAGTTAAGTGTCTAAGTAAAAACCTCTCGACTGTCCATAATCTCCATATTTTTGTAACCAATATATCCCCCTCAGACTCTCAGAGTGAGGCATTGAAGATAGTCCATAGTTTCACCGATGCAGGAACTGTGGGAACTAAGATTAGTGTTTCATAACTATCGGCATCTACGTTATTTGCTTCACTATTTGCCCCATTAACTAACAAATAATAGTCAATTTTTTCTTTCCATTTATACCTTCGTTTATCTATTTGATAAGTAATAACAATCTTAGTAGAGTCAAAATTGTATCAGCTTAAATGGGGCTTTGACACAGAATATAATATTTTACGACTGTTCCAAACGGAGTTCTGCGTAGCAGTGAAGACCATACGGAAACGAAGAACGAGATCGGACGACAATTTCACATAGATTCAGTATCAGTAATACGTACAGTTTCATTTTCCTCCGCAGAAACCCTAGTCGACGAAATTACGAACCTGGGCTGAGTTCTTGAGGGAGGCGGTGGTAATGGAAAAGGCGTAAAATTTGCTTCCCCTCAGCGCCCGTAGATCCTCGTCTGTAAGACCTTCCAACCCTTTTACCATTTCCCTTTCTGAACCGAAAAACGCGAATTCGACCTGATCAAGACTTGTAAACCTGAGAAAAAAAAAAAAAAACCCTAAAAAATTAGCACGGAAGAAGGAAAAGGTGACCGTCCGATTGACCTCGGATCCTAAGGCTTCAGTGGGACAGCGAGGCACCGATTCGTTATCCTTCCACCGACGGGAGCGGGAGGTTGTCGCTGCTCTGTGAAACCAGCCTGACGCGGTGCCCAACTCCAAGGACCATGAAACCCGAGCCTACGCCCGAGTCGCGTGGCCCAACTCCCTACTTGGACCGGACGATGCAGATCAAACCTTAACAGACCCTACCTGTTAAGAACCGAAACAATGTCCGACCGCCTTGATGCCCCCGCTTGGGTTACAAGCTCACACTACCGAGCTCAGCGATCAGTTTTGCATTCCTAGGATTAATAAGAAAGATAGATCTCTTTCGTCTTTCCGATGTGGGATATGGATGTCATTGCCCAAATCGAGCAAAGCTATACTTTGGGAAAAAAGCATGTCTAAGGCCCGTTTGGAGGGCTTTAGCACTAATTGAGCCACTTCAAAGAAGGCAAGAGCTATTACCCCGTTTGGTGCGTCTTTTCATGTGGTTTTTTCGGCTGTTTACAAGTCGGACAAACCGATTGTTGGTCTATTCCCGTATGGTTCAAGAAAGATCTAGTTGCCAAAAGCCAGAGAGTTAAAAAGACACAAGAAGCCTATTTTAGACTAATTTTGGGAAGCTCGAAATAAAGCTTTTCACGTCTTTCGCATCTTATTCTCACATGGAAAGACACAGAAAGACATGCATCTGCCAAACTAGTTCTAGGCTGCTCAAATTTTCATGCAAAAGTCTAATGCGTCTTTTGACTGTTAGAGCTATCGGAAGATCTTCCCAAAAAGACTTGCCAAACGGCCCCAAGTTTTACTAGAAAATTGTCTTCTCAATTCAATGTAAGCGTTTTGGCACTTTTGGCTCTGTAAATATAAATGTGTTACCTTATATATTGTTGAATGATTTTGTAATTCTAAACCTTGTTTGTGTTGAATATATATATTTGTATTTACACTCTTCCCAAATGGAAAGCTTTTCATCAAACCTAGCACTTAACCAATGTGCTTTTGGGTTTAGCTTCATAGAGTGTGTGCAAAAACTCCATTTATTCATTGCTTCTTCAAACAACACTAGAAGTTTAGAATATCCAATAAATGGTGATAGAGTTGGTCTACGATGTTTCTTCTTAGCTGTGTTTATTATTATTTTTTTTAAGGCTATGTTTGGTTTGAAGGAAAAGGTAGGGAAAGACGGGATAACCAATACAAGGTTTGTAAAGGTTTCCTTACCTTCCCCTACATTTTCCTTCAAACCAAACATAGCCAGGGATCTATTACAAAATTGGATTTTTGTTGTTGCAAAAAAATAGGTATGTTGCAAATAGTTACTCTGTACTTCAGGGTAATCTCACTTTTTTTTATAAGTTCAAGGGTAGTCTGACCTTTTTTTCATAAGTTCAGGCTCTAAGGTGAGATTGGGGTAATCCCACCTTAGAGCCTGAACTTTCAACTATGCCACTTTAGTACTTAAACTTTCAGAAATATACATTTAAGTCCAATTCCGTTAAACTAACATTATGATAACAGGTAAAATTACAAAAATGCTCATGTTCGAACTCTCTTTTTTTCATTTTCATCTTTTTCTACCTTTGGGCTTCAAGATGCAAACCAGCAGCGACAAAGTAAGCCTTCCAAAGTGAGACTACCCCTATGAATAGATCGAGGTTATCTTACTTTGTCATTGTTGATTTGCATCCAAAGTCTAAACATAGAAGAAGATGATGAATAGGTGAAAAAAAGAAAGTCAACATTGTCAATCTTGTAATTTTACCCCTCACCTTAACATTGTTGGGACTATACCTGTTCATGGGCTAGGTAGCTTGATGAGATGGGCGAACCTGGCCTGGCCCATTCTAAATCGAGCTTAGACAAAGTTTTAAGCCCATTGACTCAACGTCGAGCTTTCCCAAATAAGCCTAGTTTGAACCCAAACCTGGCCCAGTAATATTATATATAAGAAAAGTATATTATATTAATTATATATAATATATATTACATGATAATAAAATTAATAACAAAAAAATATTCTATACATTATAATATACATAATATATTAGTACTAATATATAATTAATATATTATAAAATACCTATCAAAATCAGGCTTTGGGCTTAGGCTTGGGCTTTGAGTTTTATATAGGGTTGGGCTCGGGCTCAAGATTTAGGCCCCATGGTTAGGCCAAGCTTGGGCTCAGGCCTAGTCATTTTCTATTAAGAGGGGTGAATTAGGTAAAGCTTTAAAAAAATTAACCTTTGAATTCAAAAAAAGGAGAAAATTTCTAGACTTCCTTGTTTTAATATATATATATATATATATATATATATATATATATATATAACACGGGATGATAGTGAAAAATGATACTATTGACCCTAATGTTCATTTAAATAAATTTAATCAAAAGAAAATAAGATGTGTGCAACCACTCTATTGGCTATATTTGGTCAATTTTGTTTTCTATACAAAAAATGTGTTAAGGGTATTTTTGAAATAAAAAAATTATGGACCTAATGGCAAAACAAACACTCCTTAATGAAATGTTAATTAAGTAAATAAGTTGTAAAATATATGAGATGTTTTAGTAAAATGAAAACTATAAGGTAGGTCTAAGTAAAATTGTAAAACTATAAGGTGTGTAGGAATGGCAATGGGGTGGGGATCATATTCCCCGTCCCCGACCCTGATTCTAAAATTAATCCCCATCCCTGATCCCTGATGGGGATGGGTTCCCCGTGGGGATCCAAATCCCCAAAATGTTTTCAGATAATATTATTTTTTTAAATAAATAAAAATTTTAAATTATAAATAATGTTTTAAATATGTTTTGATATATATATATAATCGGGGTCGGGGCAGGGACCCCCATCCCCGACCCCAACCGGGGATTCCTATTAATCCCCATCCCCACCCCGCCCCGCCCCGCCAAAACAATCCCATCCCCCGGCCCCATCGGGTCAGGGAAGTCAGGTCCCCGTCGGGGATGGGCAAAATTTCCATCCCTAAAGGTGTGTTCTAGTAAATGACCCTAATAGAAACACATAAGAGTATACAATTGTTTTATATTTTCAACTTTTTAAATAATTAACAATTATTCATATTTTATATATTACTTTTAATAATTTTTTCATAAAACAAAAATAACAATAATTAATTTTAGTTAGGTTTATTTATCAAACTGATGAAACCAACCAACCTGATTAAGTCGACCCAAGTTGGTCGGTTTTCTAGTATTTTAGGTTGGCTTTGGTTTAAAAATTTCCCAATTCAACCAAGTTGGATCAGTTTCACTTTGGCCATTTGTAAACTGACCAAAATCAAATGACTTAACCATGGATATATATTAATATTTATATTTTAAATATAATTTTTAATATGGAAAAGTGGGGAATTTCCCATATTTCTTAGTCTAAAATGTTTTATATCATAAATCTAATTTTAAATTTATTTTTTAATAATTGCACTATAATTTTTAAAATTAAATTTAATCTTTAATTTTAAATCTTTTGAACTGACTAACCAAACTACAAAATTAATCCAAACTGATACAATTTGAGTGGGTCGATTTTTACAAAATGTTAGTCGGTTTCAATTAACTAACTTCCTAACTTGACCAAGTCAATTTGGTTAGCCAAATAGCATATGACCAAACCGAACCAACTCAAGAACACTCATAATTTCAACTAAATTAATAGTCTCATATTTGATAAATAACAATACTTTAATCTCCAATAATTATTGAAAATTTATAGTGAAAATACACAATTATTGAAAATATATTGATAATGAAAAATACAAAAATTACAAAAATACAATAAGTACTAAAAAATATATTAACTTATTCAATAAATAGTATAATCTCAAATAATAGTTTAATCTCTAATAAATATTAATCAATGACTTATAACAAAAATACAATAAATACAATAAGTACAATAAATTAAAATTAAAAATTTCAATAATAGTAATTTAGTCTCCAATAATTATTGAAACTTTTATGTTAAATAACAAAATAAAATAAATTTATACATAATCTTTGAAAATAAATTTATCACAAAAACAATAAATAATTACTGAAATACAATAAATATTAATTTTAGTATATATAATTATATAATAAATACATATTAAGAATTTAAAATTATTATTAATAAATATTAATTTTTTTGAAAGTTATTTTCTCGAATTATTACTTGATATAAGTGAAATTAATTATTTACAATATTATGTAAAAATATTAAATTATTATTAATTTCAATATTATGTTATTTTTCTACTTTTCATATTTTTTTTTAAATTTATTACATAATTTCTTTATTTTAACTATTTAAAATCTAGTTATGTTAAATATTTTTGCATTTAAAATATTTAGTTATTCAAATACTTAATAGTATGTAAAATATTTAAATTTAAAAATATTAATTATTTATTGAATTTAATTATCCATAAAATCATATTTTATACTATTATTACATAATTTCATTATTAATTATGTAATATATTAAATTATTATAAATTTCAATATTATGTTAGAACTATTTTTCTACTTTGAAGAAATTTTTTAAATTTATTACATAATTTTGTTATTTTAACTATTTAAAATCTAGTTATGATAAATATTTAGTTATTTAAATATTTAAATAATCTATAAAATATTTAATTTTTTTGTTATTTGAATTTTATTTATTTAAAGCTATTACATATTATTAAATATTTGAAAAACATTTAAATTTATAATTCAAAAAAACATAATTTAAATTGTTAGTAAATAATTTTGTGATAAATTTTGTAAAAATATAAAATTATTTTTTGTGTTTTTAATAAATATTTTAAAGTTATTATATAATTTTGTTAGAGTATTTAAATAATTCTTAAATTTTTTAATCCAAACTTTCTTTAGATAGATATAGATAAAAAGTAGGGGAGAGGATAAATAGGAATTATGGATGATTTAGGAGAGAATCTACTAAATTAGAGATAATTTTGGAGATAAATAGGAATTAAAGATAATTTTAGAGAAAGTGGGGGATAATGGGGGAGGTAATTTAGGAGAAATTTTAGGAAAATGGATTATTTAGGTTATTTGGAAATTGCAACTATGTATGTATATAGGTAAATATGTATGCATATATATATATATATATATGTATAGTTGGGTCGGGCTCGAGCCAGGTTTGACTACTTAAGGGGCTAGGCCTGGGCCCAACCCGAAAAATAAAAAGCTCAACTTCTTGAGCCCGAGGACCAAAAATCCAAACCCAGCCCGTGTAAAATTTCAGACTGGGTCAATGTGGGCTTAGACTAGGCCCAAGTTGA